AATCTATAAGTGCTGAGTCGCGATGACTGGCGTAATTTAATAGCGTATAATCGTCGCGAAGTTATATCGCAATCATACTCGATATAACGAATATACAGAAGAAACTGTTTCATCGCATGTGTTTACTATTTACTTGCTTTTAAAAACATACCGAGAAGAAAAATATCTACTTTTTACACGAAAGAACACACAATACTAATGCTTTGCAAAGTAAGTTATCTTTGATGCGTGTACATTGATACTCGATTAAATGTCTTCTTATCAGGTTTTTCCTTCAAGAATTAAGATATGTAATCGATCCAATAGAATTTAATTTTGGTACACGTTCGAGGGGAACGGGGTTAGTCGTGGGAGAGTTTTCGACCAGCTGGGATGAATCTACGTATTACTATTCGCGTCGAGTGCATTTGCATTCCCGAGACGAATGCTCGCAGACTCGGAATCTCCCGATATACGCGGACGACGTGCCTGAGATTCAACGATGATCTCGACGACGAACGCATGGAAATTGACGCGAATCATCGACGGGTATTGGGCGCGTAGTCGATATTCAATGAATCGAGTACTGCATCAGCAAGTTGCGAAGTTGGAACCGGAGTTCCCGCAATGAAATTCTGTATCTTTTTCATTAACTGAGCCAACACACGGCGGAAAAGTATTTTTCCAGACAGTTTTCCGAAGTCGACGTTATCTTTTAACAGAACCGAGTCTCCGAGGTACGAGTTGCGTTCCGTATATCGTAAACAAGCGATACCAGAACGAATCAATTGGGAGACATGTTACGTAAATATTTGTATGACGTCGCAACTAGACATTTCATTTCCCGAATCTTACGTAAGTTGGCTGTGCAACTTGAACCAAACAAACTTATTGTTAATAATGGAAAGAGTAATTTAAATTACTGTTTACGTTTCGCGAACGTGACAGATAAACTCGAGTCTCATCATACATTGGACGTACCAACTATCTCGTCATAGGTATAACCCTTTGTGTCTATTAAACTAATTTAAGCTGGCCAGAATCGATAACCGGGGTATATTCGAGATATATTCATAGTATGCGAATAATTCAAATCAGTCGAAAGAATGGCGTCTCGTTAGAAATTCATACGCGACGTCGGAAAATGACGTTTCAGAGATAAAGCTTATTCGGTCGCGTTTGAAATGAAGGCACGTTTCGCGGGTGCCGCCTTTGGGAGTTATTTCGACGCGAAATCTGTCAGAATTCGGAGAAAATTTCGGGCAGGCCTCTTAGCCACGTGGGATACACGGTACCTGAGTCTTCTCTACGTTCGTTCCAAGAACCGTAAACTAGAACAAGCTGCCGTGCCCTCTCCGTCTTCCCTCGAGTGTGACGAAGTGGTCTGGAGTTCACTCTCCTCTCTTTACATTCAAAGTCTCTCTTCCTGTCCACCCTCTTCGCATTCATTCTCTCTCTCCTTCTCTCTCTCTTGCCTGCCTTCCTGTCGTTCATCGTTTTTAAAATTACAATCGTGGACGACTTCCTCGAAGGGACTCGTTCCCGCAACAAGTTTCGTCCCCTTAGAAATCGATCCCGGTTAATTCGATACTCGAGGCTAGTTACTGAACCGAGATACAGAGATGTACAGAGACCGAAATATTTTGATTTCGAACGCCTAAAATAAAATACTTAGCTTTCGTAAATAGATCCCCTAAAAAATCTGTTTTTGCGTAGCGGGTACAGGATGTTTCGAAACGCGTATTTTCGGCGAAAAGATTTGTGGGTGGCAACGCTTTTCTACTTTATCGTTCGGAAAACGAAAGTAGCGTGTTCCAATGAACAGCG